ATCACATCAACGTGCAGAGATGTACGCCCTCCTCGCTAGCATCGCACACAAAGGAGTAGCCCTGGCACCACTTGAAGAGGCTGGGCACATGGTGGGCATGCCACCCAGTCCTGGGACACAACAGATGGCCCCAGCCAGGAAAGAAGCATGAGCCACGATCCCAAATCCACGAAGATGTGCAGTCCCAGCACTGAGCAGCTGGAGGGACCCAGACTGCACCCCCGCCCCTGCTCGACCGGACGGGAGCCACTCCTGGAGGTCACCACCAGCCAATGAACGGAGGGCCCATGACATGAACACACACGAACACCCATCACATAAGCACACACACTCGTGACATGAGCATACACACCTGTGTCATGAACACACACACCCATGACATGAATGTGCACATGTGTGCAGAAGGATGCTGACCTAGAACAGTCACCTCTCAGAACACAACACTGACCCCAGGAGGCCTGGGCAACTCTGCCCTGGGGGTCAGCAGCAAGTACAATGGGTAGGCCCTGGACTGAAGGTGAGGGTGGGGGAAGACCCTGGGGTCTGGGTGGCTGGGCATAGCGGGGGTGGTCAATACAGAAGCCCCTGCTTGTGGCTGGTGCAGACTCAACCATGGTCAACAGCCTGCGACGTGCTGCTGATACTGCCCAGAGAGCCATCCGTGCGTCTCAGGTGGGCACCGTGCAGCGAGGACCTCTGCGGGGACCAGCATGGCAGCCGAATGAGGGCCACGTGCCTTAAGCCTAGACACAACCCGCTCCAGCCTCAACCACAGCAGTCATCGTGACAAGCCCATCGGGCAGTCCGGGCCAGCAGCCAGGCGTTAAAAGTCATGCCTAAGGCGTGGGGAGGACAGGGACATGTGGGTGTGTTCAGGAACGGGGTTGGGGGCTCAGAACGGTGGGGGTGGCGCTTGCCCGGCTCCTAACCCAGAGCTGTCTGCAACGTAAACCCCCCTCGTGGGGTGGGGCCGGCCAGCTGCCTACCTGTGGCCAGGTACATGATGTGCAGGAGCAGGTCGCGGGCCTGGACCACGTCAACAACGACGTGGGACAGGCGGCTGTTGTCCTCCATGAAGGCGGGCACCTCGGACACGGGCTGCACCACCTCCTGCATCAGGATGAAGCGCTGGGCGTCCTGCAGGCTCCGCTCCGTCAGGTTCAGGGACAGGCCCTGGTCCACGGTGCCGCACTGCAGGAAGACGTCGGGTCACATCCACCCCTGCGCTGCAGGGCCCACACCACAGCCCGGGAGCCCCTCCCATGTCAGATGGGAGCCCATCCTAATTGTAGGGTCTCCCAGACCATCCGCCCAGGGTGTTTTTCTTTCCAAAGTCCTTCATGTTAGATGGGCATTCAAAAAGAATTACTAGACTTTTTTTTTTAAACCATTGGAATAAATACAAGAAAATCATGGGCCCCGAAAACCTCAGGACGCCTCTGTGGGTCGAAAACCCACCTCTCTGGGCTCAGCCCAGGTCCCCTCAGGGGCCCCTAACCCCGCACAGTGACCATGCTCAACCCCCACTCTCTCTGGGAGCCATCCTTCTCTCTCCAGCAAATTCCCCCAGCCCCACCTCATTTAAAGTCTTGCAGTCTAAGACAGAGCATCTCTAACCCGTCCCCTGACACCCAGCTGTGCTAGAGGGTCACGGTGAGCCAGCATCCACTGGAGGACAAGGAGTGGCACACCCAGGTGACCGACAGAGCCGCCACGGGTGGGCACCGCCCGGACAGCAGTGAGAGCAATGCCAGCTGGGGCTCAGGAACGAGACTGAACCCAGGAGTGAGGACCGTACTTCTGAACGGTGTTTTCACCCCGCGGTTCGTACTCCCCAGTACTGAAACTGTGGGACCTTCAGCAGTTGGGGAGGGGTGGGGCGGGGTGGGGGGTGAGTAATGTGCACTGGAACAGGATCGGAAGACGTGCACTCTAGCTCAGTGGGCTGCAGAGCACGGAATCAAGAAGAGTCTTGTCTGCCTCTCGGATGCAATGGCCGATTCCCACCACAAACCCACGCCGACAACCACAGGCAGCCTGGGAGGGGCAAGTCCAGTATGGATCCAAATGGACACATATGAGAAACAGTGTTTGAACCCATCTGCATCCCCCGGGGAAACCCGAGCGAGAGCTCTTGGGCGAGTCGGGGATTCGGTTTTACTTGGATCCACACTCAATGGCCAGGAGGGAAGAAATCAGACAGCATCCTGCAGTAGGTACCTGCTCCAGTCGACCTCGCTCAAGTGTGCAAACCCAAAGACGTCCCTCTGGGACTAAGCTGAGCCTGAACCGGGCAGCAGTATTGCCAGCAGCCCCCAAGGCATGGCAGAGCTGGACCACAAGGAAAGGCTGATGTTGGGGAAGAGGGTGGCTTGTCGCCGGGGCTGCCAGGAGACCAACCCATCTGAAGGGAGAGCAACCACATAGTCTTCTACTTCAGCCCGCCCCCAGCATTCCAGACAGCAAGCCAAGCTGATGGCATCAAGCCTGTGCCGACACCTCACCCAGAAAAGCGGCGAGTCCCGGGGGTTTCTGAGACAGGAGCGGACGGCTTCCTCTTCCTCCGGCCCTCTCACTGCCACTAGGTCATAGGTCATGCTGCACACAGGGAGCCCCTGTGGGTCCCGGAGAGCATGACTGTCGATGGGAGTACGAAGCACAGGGTCTCTCCCATGGAGCTGCTGGTGGTTTCGAACTGCCGACCGTGCAGATCGCAGCCCAGCACATAACCCCCACACCACCAGGGCTCCATCAGACCCTGCGGGAGGGCTTCGTGGTGGTCGACTGACAAGTTGGGGGTGGGGGTGGGGCGCAGAACCCTGCATGCAGGGAATGACACAGGAGGCCCAGCAACGGGCTCTCTGCCAACGGACAGCTGGTGAGGATCCGGGGCCATGCCTGCTGGAGGGCCATGCCTCCACACAAGAGAACACACATTGTCACCAGGACAATCCTGCCTCTGAGGGGCACAGAGGGCAGCACGCAGGGCCTGACCTTGATCTCCCTCCCTTAGTGCTCCGGGTTTCACCAGGCAAGGGATCACATTTTGCCTTATGATGTGTGTGTGTGTGT